AGAGGGCAGTGTCACTGGCCCTCATATGTGGGATCCGAACCGGGGCCCTCTGGCATCCCAAGCCAGTTCTTAACCATCGCGCCACTCGGCCGGCCCTGAGCTCAAACTCTTGAGCGAGCTCTTAACCAACTGAGCCACTCAGCCGGCCCAAGGAGCCCAATTTAGATCCTGAGCCATGACAGACTTGGAATCAGGGGACACTGGTAGCAGAGCTTTGGGAGCTCAAGGCTGCATCACTGGGTGTAAGAACGGGGGACCACCCCCTGCTTCTTAACTCAGTCTCTCCTCCTCAGGTTGTCCCCATTTAGTAGTATGTGCCCGAAGACATTGCTGCCGTATTTGGGATGGCGGCCCTAATGGCTTGAGGCCAGAGCTGGGGCTTCCAGCAAGCCTGCTCACCCATCTGCTGGTTTGTTCAGAGCTGGGAAGAAGCCCATTCTGGGCTGTGTGCCCAGAGGGGGTGCTAGCACAACCCCAAGGTGCTGAGTGGTAGGGATCTGGATTCCCACCCAGCACATCTTTATCCCCTGCCCCACCTTGGGCAAGCAGCCCACCTTGTCCAAGGCTCAGTCTGCTCCTCCATGAAATGAGGATATGATTCATATCTGCCTTAGGATTGCAATGACCTTGAATGAGAGGCTGTGCAGAAAGCCTGGGCACCGGGGGTATCTCATCTGAAGACTCCATAGTCTTCTCCTTGGTATTCCTGGCAGAAGAGACACCCCGCTAGACCTGCAGACCTGATGGCTGAAGCTGAACTGCTGAGCTCTAAGCATGCCCCCTGGGGAAGAGAACCCCACCAAGATGAGCCACAAGGAAGTACTGGAGAGAACGTGCCTTCCCACGTGCAGGGGAGAGGCTGCCAGAACAGCTTTTCAGAGAGCCATTCTCAGCTGGTGCCCAGGGGGCACGCAGTAGATAAGAGAACACCAAGGAGAGCGTCATTGCTTGAGACAGAAGACAGGGGAAGCCAGAAGAAGGGGACCCCCGGGGGAGTGGCCAGGCTGACAGATTGTGTTGGGGGGGTGCATTTGCACAAATCTGAGTTTCCCATACCAAGTAACCTGCTCTCAGGGGCCTTGCAGCTGCTAGGCTCTGCGTCCTTCTCTAGATGGAACGTGGAGTTGTGGGCTGGAACCCAAAGGTGTGGCCACCATGCTCTGGGCAGGAGGGAGATGCAAGGATGGGTGTGCCCAGGGAGGAAGGCAGAGTGGGGCCAAGCCTGAGTCCCCAAGCCTGGGGTCCAACAGAGGCTCGACTCGCCTCTAGCTCACCTCACAAAGGGCTGATCTCTGGGCAGAGGCCAGAATGTTAGACCAAGGGCAGCTACAGGAGGTCGGGAGGCAGGGGCCTCAGGCTGTCCAGATCCTGGTCAGGGCTACTCCCCCTGCCTTCACCAGCAGGCATCACCCAGCAGCATTTTGTGCTCTCAAAGCCAACAGTTGCTTCCTGGGGCTGGTGCAGAGGAGACTGTGGATGTGATGGCTCATTTTATCTGTCAACTTGGTCAGGCCATGGAGCCCAGATGTTTGACCAAACACCATTGTGGATGCTGCTGTGAAGGTATGTTTTAGATGTGATTAACATTTAAATCAGTCGAGTTTGCGTAAAGCAGATTATCCTTCATAACATGGGTGGGCCTCATCTAATCAGTTGAAGGCCTTAGAAGCAAAGACGGAGATTCCCCAAAGAAGGCATTCTAGCCCAAGACTGCAGCATGGAAACCCTGCCTGAGTTTCCAGCCTTCGGACTCAAGACTGCAACAACTCCTGCCTGAATCTGCAGCCTGCTGATTTCAGACTTGCCGGCCCCGACAATCGCGTGAGCCAATTCCTTAACCTAAATCTCTCTGTGCCTCTGTCTCTCTCTGTGTGTGCCTATCTTTGTCTCTCCCTCTGACTAATACAGCGGACAAGTGAGTGAAGTGTGTTGGCCAGGTTGGCATGTAGCAGCAAACACCACACCAGAAATGTCAACTCTTGGGGAACCCACTCCTGCGCACAATGATCCAGTCTGTACCCCACGCTCTCCCCACCTGACATGGACCCAAGTCTGTCCCCCACACAGCTGGTACAGGCCACATAAGCATGATCTACAGAGGTCCTTGACCTGTGGTCAGGAGGGCTGGGTTCCACCCCAGATCTGCCACCAGCTGGGTGACCTTGAGCAAGTTTCTTTCCCTCCCTGCGCCTCAGTGTGCTCGTGTCTTAACAGCAGAGCCAGATGAGGGTAGTTACTTGTAAATTTCTTACAGTAGCAGCTTGCTTTGGGCCAAAAGGAGTCTCATACAGTAGGTCAACGCTTAACGCTGTCCAAGTAGGGCTTCAATGGCTTCTGTGGAGTGTGGGGAGCTGCAGAGTGCTCCCCATCCCCACCCCTCACTCCTGCCTGAACCTTGGACCTTGACCCCCAAAGGCTTGCCACCCGTCTGCCTGTTCTGACATCTGCAGACTGTACGCAACACGCTTTGGGGTGCACCCACTTTCCCCAGTGCCTTGCCTAGCTGAATGTGCCTCTGGGCTGGTGGAGGGAAGCTCATTACTGCTTGTGACTCATAAAAGTCTAAAATCAGCAGACAAAAGCTCCTTTCAGAGCTCCCTTTGAACCCCAGGGTCTCGTTATGTGACAAAGATATTTAGAGGATTGCTACAAGAGCAATCACATATAAGGCAGAAAAATGTGGCCTTGTCTTCAAGGAGAAGTGGCAGCTGGGGCCCCCCTCTGAGTCCTTACACGCAGGCCCTGTTTTACTGAGCAGCCTGGAAAAGGTGTCCCTGTTCAAAGGCAGCCCCTCTCCATTGACTGACAGGCTCAAAGGCGAGGAGCCCAGATGCCCACCCCCAAGCATCCGTGTGGCCTAGAAGCTCAACATTGTTCATTCTCTAGGCACCCCATCAGCCTTTCTGGGAACTGATACATGTAAGCCCTGAGCACTGCAAAAAGCCCATGGGCAGCTGGCCTGAGACCTCTGAAACATGGCTTTGGCCTCCTTTTTCCTCCACCCTTGAGTAAACGTAAATTCTTCCTAGAATAAACTGTAACACAAAAGGAACTGGTAAACTTAACAAAGACATGATTTTTACCTGGGCGTCACGCAGGATGAT